ATTAAGGGAACTTCGGTGTAATCAGGGACAGAGGTAGTGAGAGAGGCTTGTCATAACTCGTTCGCTTCGCTTACTTTGGGCCTCCTTAGTGAGGTTTTGGTTTAGAGTCCAGGGTCCTCCCTTGGGTTCCCATGAGCGACAAGTAGCTGTCAGCCACTGATGTTTCACCGGCCTTCCTCGGGGGTTTGAACGCGGCAGCTGAGGGTTTAGGGTTTAGGGGGTTTAGGGCCCATCATGGTGTTGGAATTGACACTAGGCTTGTTTGTATTTAGTTATGTCATTGTTGCAGGCAGAACTTGCTGGAGTACAATGATCCTGGTCTGTGACTTGTCACGTCTAGAGCAGGTTACATAACGGTGCCTACCTGTCAAGTCCTGATGATGCCCGTAGTATAAGGGTGTCCAAAATGTGACAGAAGATAAGTACAGGACTGGGCTCGTCCGTCAACCCTAAACCCTACACCCCCCCCCCCACACACACCTAAACCCTAAACCGGGAACCTGGAGTGGTCGACCCTAGATTTAGGGCTTACATAGTGTTTAGTGTTGACAAAAACTTTAGGGTCTTTGGGACGAAGCCCTGATTGTGTCCTGAACTGTTTGGAGACCGGGTTTAGGTCAAGCCCTTGCCCCTTCTCTGATAAAGGGATTAGAGTTTGGGGTTTAGGGTATAATGGCCCCCTTCCCCCATAACAATAGCCACCCAATATAGAACCATGATATATCAGGGGCAATTTTTATTCTTGGCGAGTGGGGAATTCATTACAAGGGGGAGGTGAAACCCTAAACCCCTAAACCCCTAAACCCCCAAACCCTGAACTCTAAACCCCTAAACCCTAAACTTTTAATTACACCCCTAAGCCCTAAACCCCTAAACCCTAAATCCTAAAGAATTATTATTAGGAGGCCCCTTGGGCCTCGTCTTCCCACGCAAGACAGCTACAGCCGCGACGCGTCTGCGAGGGGCTCAAGGTCTCAGGGCAAACTGCCCGTAATGTAGGGGCCTCTATAATTTACCAGGATTTAGGCTTCAGGATTTAGGGTATAATTTACCAGGATTTAGGGTTTAGGATTTTTTGGTTTAGGGTTTAGGGGTTGAGGGTATATAGGTTATAATTTGCCAGGAGTTAGGGTGTAGGGTTTTAGGTGTCAGGGGTTTAGGGTGTAGGGTTGGCCTTTGGGATGTTTTTTGATTTTCCATTATTAGTTTCATAAGAAGCCTATATACTAATGTTGTTCAAAGGGCTCCGTCGCAAACCCAACCAGTTACCAAGTTTGTGCTCCTGTGTTCCTCTTTTGTTTATAGTATTGGGTACCTCGAAAAGATCTCAAAGTGATAGTGGCAGTAATTCAGTCAGGCCCCTACAGTGATTGCTTGCAGATGTCTACAGGGCCGCGAACAAGAGACCGCCTAAAGGCCATGACATGATTGGATGTCGGACCTTTTTGGGGCTTCGGGGTTTGCATTTTTGGAAAAGGCTCTACGTGCTACCAGCACAAAACCTAGCTAGCACACATACCCATCAACAGTAGATGCTTGTAAGATCCTGAAATCAGCCGTTTTTGAGGGTCTTGAACGCTTACATCGCAAAGCCTTGGCAAGGGAAGACCTAAACACGAAACGGGCTTGGCGATTCCGGTTTGCTGTTTAAAGTTTGGACATCATGGGCTTTGAACACCTGTTCAAAAGTACTTCATGCAAAGCTTAATTACATTGTCCAAGAGGGGTGCCAAGGCCCTTCTCCCCCAAGCCTTTGAAATCCCAAGAACGGCTTGACCAGTCTCTCACACGCCCAATTCTCGATCGCGCATGAATGTGGGTCTCTGGCTTCCGCGGATACTGATGTTGGATCTCAGCGCCCCCCCATATTTAACCCACCAACCTAGTATTAGATATTCCCCTAGTTTTCCACAATGGCGAGTATTTAATAATACTGGGGGTGGAGGGGGTTGACTATTGGGGGGTTGGGAGTAATTACTTTGTTGCAGTTGGTTTGACGGAGAGCAGTTTAATGCCTGGACTACGAGGCTGAAATGAGGCCGTCATATGGGGATATGTAGAGACACATGGGCTTTACAGATTAGAGTACTCGTAGGCTACTGGACCTACTCAGTAACAGTTTGTGATCCTGTTAATATGATGGGCCGTAAATATCTTTGAAGCAACTGTTATCCAAAAGCCCCAAGCCCTAAACTAGAAACCATAGGCCCTTACTGTCGGGAAGTACCCATTTCTTCTGCCTCAGGGTCAAGAGTATATATTTCTCATAAATTTTGTCACATACTCCCAAAACCCTGCGTAAGGATTGCTAGCAAAAGGATCCCACAGTATAACATGCATATCTTATTTGCATGCTGTAGCCATATCTTGTGGACCGGACCAGTACCCTCAACTCTGTACTGTAAACCGTTTGGCTCAACGTGCCCACACGCGCAGCACACTGTGCCCTGCTCACGGAAATGTCGAAGACATGATGGCTCTACAGGGCCTGGTACTGCCCAACAACACTCATTCTTAACATTGCGATTACGAATACCGTTTTTAACATTGTTACTGTACTACAGTATCACCCGTACCCGTGCTCTTAGGATTGCAATAACTCTTACGATTACTCTCGCTATCATTAATATTAGTAGTAACTAGTAGTATTATGATTATGATTGTTATTATATTGTTCATTATCACTACTTTTGCTATGTGATACGTAGTACTGGTAGTGGCGACTCTGCCGTTTCGCTACATCAGCAGAACCATTGTAGTGCCGCTCTAGAACTGGACATTCCCAATCCCGTACAGATTGGAGAGCTTCAAAAAGGCTTTAGGGTTTAGGGGACGTCTGCGTGATTTGCTTGCTTGTTCGAAAGGAGTGATACGTAACAGCGCAATGAATCAGAAAACGCTTCTTTTCATTTCGGCGCTCTTGAGGGAACCCAGACCTCTCTAAACCTTCAGAAGCCCGCCAGAGCTTCAGGTACATTTGGGGGTTTCCCCAAATTAGGGGGTACCTTTTTGGGAGTATCCATAATAAGGACTATAGTATTTTGGAGTCTAGATTGGCGTCCCCTTATTTTGGGACACTACCATTTAATGACTGGAGGTTGAGCTCCCCGTTGTTGAAGCCTTGGCTTGGGTATTGCGCACCGGCAGCAGATTCTGCAATGTCGGCCGATGGCGAGCCTGAAAAGGCGAAGATCAAGCCACTTGTGCGCCGGGCGAATTTCGAGCAGACTGTGGCGACTCGATCTCAACACGATAGAGGGTTTAGGGTTTAGGGATTACATTGAAACATTGATCCCCCTTCTCGGAATTCGGGAAAGTAGTTTAAATCCCCCCTGTCCATTTTGCAACTTGGTAGCCTCTACTGTGGAGATTGCAGTTTTGTGCTTTCAGGATTCAATCGCAACAACTGTTGCACTCCCCCACACTTACATGGAGAAGTTAAAGGAGACCCTGCAAAGACTACTGCGCTAGAATGAGCAGAGGGCTCAAAAAAAGGTGAGGTAAAGGAAGGTCGGGTATAGGAAATAAGCCCCAATATTAAGGGATTACAATAGTACCCCCCCCCCTAAAGGTACACCCCCCGGGTTTAAGGAGCTAATAAGGACTATATACTGCTGTTGTTAAGGCCGAATAGGGTTCTGAATCTGAGGGGGGTGTATATTTGGGGGGGTACTATTGTAATCCCTTAAATATAGTAGAGTATATGCTAGAGATCCTTTAACCTAGCTACCTTCATCCCACCTTTGGAACCCCTAAAACGAGGGGGAGTCTATGGGATTCCATGTTATTTTGCGAGTGGGCAATACTCGCCAAGCATAATGGGTTTAGGGTTTAGGGTTTTAAGGTTTAGGATGGTTTAGGCTTTAGGGGTCCAGGCTTCCAAAAAAAAGAGTTCTGGACGGGGCTCTTTGTGCTTTTTTTTTTCTCGGATTCTGTTTTGTGACATTTAACATGACAGTCTTACCCTTGACCCCTAAATTAACAGCACAGGCCATAAGGCCTAGGAGCTCAGCTTTTTGGGGGGCTCTGGATGAGGACGTCACTTTGCAGCATGTCCCTCACAAGTCAAAATCCCTAAGCCTTGCACCCTAAACCCCAACCCCCATGAGGTTTTTACACCGGGAGACTCTACTCCCAATCTAGAGCAACAATTCATACTCCTCTTGATTTCTAGCATAATACAAGAACATCTCACGCTACAAGCACCAGAAATTCTGAAGAACACAACTCATAGAAGATCCCTGTGTAGCCCGGATTCTAATCCCAGTTTCCATTTAATGCGCGCTTCCTCTTCCATTTGGTTCTTCAGCATTTTACTCCCAACTCTTTCGAGTACCCCACATATCCACAAGCAATTCCACATCTAGCCCTTTTTAATCAAGTAGAGCTCCTGTATGACCCTAAACCCCAACAAACCTGAAACCTTAACCCCTAGACCTTAAGCCCCAAACCCTAACCCCTAGCCCCTAAACCCTTTGGGCATCAGGAGATGACCCTGGACGTAAAGGCTACATGTCTGTAGCAGCAGTTTAGGGTTTAGGGTTCAGGTTGTTTGGGGTTTAGGGTTTACGTTATTTAGGGTTTAGGAGGTTTAGAGTGTAGGGTTTGAGGTTCAGGGTTAGGGTCTCAAATCTACAGGAGGCTTGGGTATGTAAGGATTATACACGATTCAGGGTTTAGGGATATTTCCCCAGTAATGGAGTGTGAAACGGACAAGAAAGTGGAAAACGGCTATAATGCATATAAGGATGATGGAGTATAGCACTCCCCCCCCCACCTCCCCCTTAAGGTTTCCCCTAGATTCGCTCCAATTGACCCTCAAGAAGCTTAATTAGCTAAGGGGGAAGCTTTGGGAGCAGTGGTCTGCAAGTAGGCCTGATAGTGACATTCGCACGACTAGAAACTGAGGGGGTGTTCGAACTGTATGTTTTCAGTTCAAGTGTTTGGGTGTACTTCTTCAGGATTACTATGCCCCGGCCCTACACCCTAACAGAGCTCCCATGTTGGATGCCTGTAAGGACCTGCAAGACTTCAAAGAGGGTGAGTACGTTTTGAGTGACATTGTAGGCCCCGCCGACGGCTTTCGCATCCAACTGAGCTTTTACCCCTTTGAGTCCACAGCAGCATATGTAAAGATATTCTTTGCACCTGGCTGTGAGAAAGGGCCTTGGACTGCTGAGCAGCTGGCTTGGGAAGTGCTGATATCAGATGATGCTTGGGAACGCACAACAACAAATGACCACGACAACTGGGTCGAATGTCCTTCAGGCTGCTTCATTAAGGACGAAGATACTTATGATATGGCAGAAGGCGAGACCGAGGACAGTTTTGGGGGGGTCTTCACTCCCCCTTATATCATTGACTTTGAAAATGAGCTGTTATCAACCGTGCATGTCCGGGCAAAAGTAAGGCTGCCAGCACCTGAAGAAGTTGCAAAGACCTTTCTTTCCAGCGTGGACCTCACTCAGCAGGTTACGCAAGTGACTTTCAGGCTTTCCACTGGGCCATGCTTGTTCCTGGACAAGCGCGTTCTGATGACACGCTCCGAGTATTTCCGAAAAATGCTCACGGAGCCTCGGCTCAAAGAAGGAAGAACAAACGAGGTGGATTTGAGCAAAGATTCCACCATCAACTGCAAAGCCATGACCGCATTGCTGCGCTTCATCATGTCGGACACATTTGTCCATGCAGAGGACCTCGAAGACCACGAATATTATTTTGACTGCAGAAAGCTGGCAGATCGCTACCAGCAGAAGGAGCCTGGACTGTTGTTTAATGAGCCCAGTGGGTCCAAGTACCCAAGAATTAGGTACTTGGGTTTTGGGTAATACTATTCATAGTACAGGTTTTTGGGTAGATATATGAGTATCAGGGTAATGATTTGGCGGATGAAGGGACATTGAGGGGCTTATGGGGGTTGGAGGAAGGTGAGTTAAGCTACTAACAGTATGGGTATGTAGTAAATGACAGTTTTTCAGGGTCTGGGTAATTGCCCTAAGCTGTAAACCCCAAACTTTTTCCCCAAATTCAATTCAAGCTCAAACACAGCAGCTCAGGATTTCTTGGTCCACGCTGAGAAAATCGGACTCGAGTAGCACCGTTTGCACATTTGGCGGTTGGGTCCTACTTAGAGTAACAAAGGCAAAAAAAACGAATGTGATATTTTCCGGCACCCGTTGTATTCTAGGAAAGCCCTCCTGAACTTGCTCTCGCCCGAGAATGTGCTGCTATTTTTGGGCCGCGTCATCGGCAGTGGAGGCTGTCTGGAAGCGGTCTCCTTGATGCAGAGTCCTAGTTCAGAGCAGTAGGCATGTAGAGAGATTTGATGCCATGGTTGAATCACATAGAGATGACATACCCAAATGGACCACGTAGCTATATTATTTGGCCAAAGGGGGTCCCATCTGTACTTTCAGGTCCAGTTACTTACTGTCGGCGTAGAGAAATTATGTCAGGGTTCAGGCTTCCAAGCTGTAGCCATGCTAATGGAGATGCAAGGGATGACCGTATCTCCAGTACGGGTGGAGGCTACGCGTTCCTGCGAGGACCCTCATGCATTGCAAGTGCAATGCGGCGTTGCGTTCAGGGTCTGGGTTCATGAGCCTATCTTTTGTTTGCTTTGTCGTGCCGCCGCTGCCATGCCAATCCAGGCATGCCTGAAAATGGTTAGAGCAAACGACTGCGAAGTCTTGGAGACGCAGTCGGAAGAGCTGCGCGCAATCATTCGGCAGGACGCTGACCTCACGACGCTGCTGTTTGACCTTCTCGTTGCTTGATGGCAAGATTGATACAGTCAGATCATCGTTGTCAATACCAACCTCATGCTTAACCTGGTTGGTCCTGGCCATATTGTTGTTACTACCCTTAACGGGTTTATGATAGCTCAGAACTGAATCACGACAAGGTGATATGGAGGTTCTGGATCTGCGTTAGCCAGCTACAGGACATTATCTGCGGTAATATGGGTTCAAAAGTGTTTATAAGTACCAGTTATGATATTGGGTTCTAATTGCCCTGAACTTCCATGTGGCCCCTAGACCCATTTTCAGGTTCAAAAGAGAAAGGGCAGAGGGACCAAACGCCCCCTGGAGCGCCACATCGATACCGACTGATTGCCTGCCACGCTGCTAGGTCTGAAGGTTCGGGGGATACGGTTTAGGGTTTTAGGTTTTGGGATGTAAGGTTTAGGACCTAAACCCTAAACCTTAACCCTAGGGTTCCCAGTTACCTAAAAAGTCGGTTATCAAGTAGTCAGATGTTGGGTATTTGGACTCCTTGGCTCGTAGCATAGAACTTTGGGAGAAGGGGGCAAAGCTCCCCCGGCAAAGGGGACTTAAACCTTGAACCATGAACCCTAAAGCCCAAGACCTAAACCACAAACCCAAAGACCGAAATCCTAAGCTCGAAGCCCTAAACCCCAAACGGTAAAACCCAAGCCCAAAGCCCTACCAGCTGGAAAGCAGAGTTGCCCTAGCATGCGCGGAGATGAGAAAAAGTCCGAACATAGCACCTGCGTCGAGTGTGTATTGCGTTCATGGAAATATCTAGGGTAAACAAGGGAGTTTGGGATTGAGGGTGCAGAATTCAGGGTTTAGGATTCCATTTGGGTTTTGGGTCTTGGACTTGGGGTTTAGAATTCAATTTGGGTTTAGGGTTTAGGGGTTTAAGGGTTTAGCGGGCCATGGTAGCCCTGGATTCTTAGAGATTCCTCAGCCCTAAACCCCAAACCCTGGATGACGAAGGGGACACAGGGGTCCTTCGGAGGGAGGATACTATGCTCAACCTGGGTGCCCCCACCGAGTAATCGTCCATACCAGGGGAACTACTTATGATGAGTTTCTAAGCATTATCCAGCGGTTAGGAGGGCAGTAGCCAATGCTAAGCTCTAAACCCAAAATCATCTTGCTTACAGGCACTCCCAAGTCTGTGTATCAGGTGTTTAGGGTTTAGGGTTTAGGGTTTGGGGCATAGGGGTTTAGGGTTTAGGGTAAGCCCCTAAACCCAAGCCCCTAACCCCTAAACCCTATGCCCTCTTGTTTTATCGGCTGCGTGGGTGAGGCTCCAGCATCCTAGGCTTTGCCGCATTTTTCAAGACGCTGAGCTCCGCAAAGCGAATACGCTAAATCCTAAACTTCCTGAGCCCTATTAGGGTTAAGGTTTAGGGATTTAGGGTTTAGGGTAGTTTTGAGCTCAAAACCCAATGAATTGACAAGGCGAAGAAAGAGAACCACGCGCGGTTGAGGAGTTTCGGGTTGATAGGCGTAGAGTCTAGGGTATAACAGAGTTTGCGGGCTTAGATTTCAAGTTCACAGGTAAGGGATTTGGGTCTAGCACCTAGGTTTAGGGTTTGTATGGCGCTTAGGGATTAGGGTACAGGATAGAGGTGGCACGATTGGGGTAGAGCCAGACCTGGAGAGAAGCATAGCTATAAGTCTCATCAGTCGCAGTCACGGAATCCATTCTCCAGTTGCGTAAACATGTGGCCCACCCCGTGAACTGTGAACCCCAAACTTGGACTGTGTGCTATGTAGCTATACAAGTGGCATGAGAGCAGAGTACAAGTTTTCTTGCAGGTGTTCTGGAAGGGGTAGTCGATGATTTATGCAAGCGGCACATAGATATGAATCGAGCGTAGTTTTGAACACGCCCCTGGCACCGAGGCACAACACAATGATGGCAGCACCGCTTTCTCTCTCTCTCTCTCTCTCACTCTCTCTCTCTCTCTCTCTATTCGAACCCTAGGTTAACGGTTTTGGGTTCCTAGTTACAGCCTTGGACCAGTGTAGGAGGGCCTTGCAGATGGCCGTTTCTGAGGGGGCGCGGTTCTCAACAGAGTAGTATTTTATTTGGGGATATTATGGTACCCAATAAAGAGTAAGATTATATCCTCCTTTTGGGTATAGTATTTTATATGAGGAATATAATCTTACTAGGTTCAACTACCAAAAAAACACTACTCAACAGAAGGGGTTGCCGTGCTGCCTAGATTTTATTTTGCTTGCCCCCAAAACCTGAATCCAAATCCCATAAAGCCCAGAAGCTCACAGCAACAGCTGTACATAAGCAGGTTGCCAGGTCTCTGCGCAATGTTCCTGGCTCCAAGAAGTTGAAGTTGCGAAGACGTACAGACAACAGCATTGAGAGAATTCCATTTCACTTGGGCGTTTTCTTGCCTTGGTGGCCATTTGCAACAGAAACCAGTTGAGCATTTACAAGAAGTAAGCAACAACGGTGCCTTCGGATACGAATTGGGCTCAGGCATTGCGCACCGTGCCTTTTTGCGGCTCATATTGGGGCTCATCGAGTATCATTCTATAGAGCCTCGGGTAGCCAAGTATTATAGAGCCTCGGGTAGCCAAGTATAGGTGTCAGACAGAAGTCATGGGGCTCTTTAAAAGTTTTGGGTTCAGGGATTGTGCACCTTGCACGAATCCCACAATGTCAGATGATGAGCGGCCTGCAAATGGGGGGAATGAGCCGCTCGTGGTGCGGGCGAATGAGCCTCGCGTGGAGCAGACTGTGGAAACTCGCTCGAAACTGTTTAGGGCCCAGGGTTTGGAAACTACCCTACACCCTAAGCCCTTAACCTGCCAAAGAACCCTAAGCTCCCGGATCTTGTCTGCATGGTCTATTCTTGGTTGTGCTTTGGGAGCCGCTTGGCCTCTTGTAGTTTGGATTCCTACCCGGACCCCGGGGAGAGTCTACAAAAGGTAGATTCCCCTTAAGGGCTAAATATGGGGTCTGGGGCTTAGGACTTCTGGGGTTTAGGACTTAGGGCTTAGGACTTTTAGGATCTAGCAAGCAGATGCCTCATAAAAGGCTCCCAGAAATGTCCTCATGCATTATGCATTAGTATGGGATACCTTGTCACGAGATCTACCTTTTAGATCCTTGCTTGGGTCTGTGTACCCGCCGGCTATGCTGAGTGCTTAACCTAAAATCACGTAAGGTTCTTCATTGGCAACCTGGGGAAGCAGGGACGTAGTACTCAGCCTTAAGCCCTGAATCCTGAAGCCTAAACCCCAAACGCTAGGAACCCCTGAGGTTTTTAAGCTTTGCTAGGAGTTTCTGGGAGCGCTTCAGATTTTCTTTCTACACCGTCCCTAGTGGGGACCCCAAAATCCTTTTGGGAACCCAGCTCTTCATCCCAAAGCTCTCTAAGAACCCCCACGCGGTTTAGGGTTTAGGGTTCGGAGTTTAGGGTTTAAGTTTTGTGGGTTTAGGGTTTAGGGTCCTGTTCTACTACCTACTAGCCTAAACACTAAACCCTAAAACCCCAAACCCTAAAGTATTCAGAAACGGGGGTTGGGATGAAAACCCTGAACCCTAAACGGTAACAAACTCAGCTTGCTAGAGCATCGACTTGTGGCTCCATCTGAGCTACAGTCTAGCCTCCTTAAAAGGGGGCTATGTAGGGGAGTATTGTCCGGGTTTCTAAGCGGGAGACTAGGAGTTTAGACTGTAGCTCAGCTGCCTAGAGTTCAGTTTAAGGTTCAGGGCTTGGGGCTCAGGGTTTGGGGTTTAGGGTTCAGGGTACTAGGAGTCAATTTTTAATCAAATTCATAGGGTCTTGGCTGATGAGCTTGATTGATGATGGGTCCAAGTTTCATGTGAAGTGTTCATCACAAGAAGCCTTATCAAAGATTCTTATTAGGAGTTAAGTTTAAGTTCGCTAAATGGGAATCCTGATTAAGGAGTCTGCTTGACGCTGCATACAAGGAGATTTGACTAGTGATCGTTATGTGAGAGGGCATCTAAATCGGCATGCTTCTTAGGGAACTCCCTTGGCGGTCATCATAAAAGATATTTCTCTGGAATTCCGCAGTAGCGTCCTTGTGGGAATGTTTATAAAGATGAAGCTTATGATGGATCTTTGCAGGTAGTACCTGAGACAGAGAGTGTCAACACATAAAACATGTAAATATTGGGAAGTAAGCAAATTAGACATGTCGGCTTTGGGCGGTACAAGCAAATTAAAGCCCAAGTTTTGGGGATGAGCTTCATCCCAACGAAAAACCTGAGACAGTGATGGAATGTCAAAATGTTTTTTTTGGGGGGGAGGGGGG